CGAGCTTTTTGGGTTCTGGAGGACGTTTTACCCATCCACTAGGACGATTGGACCTTTGTTTTAAAGTCATAACTAAACTGATGTTTAGGAAAATGCTTATTTTATTCTAATGAAAATAAGTAATAAATATATGTATATATGAATTATGGAAAACTAAACATTCTGAGGAATTTTTATTTTGCCTTTTTTGGTCTTTAATGACATGCCTTTTTAGACATATTTTTCTTTTTAAATGCTTTTACATATTATATTAATCTATACATTCTATCTATATTATATTATTCTCTGTTGCAAACACAAGTTTAAATCATTTTAAGTTCTACTAATCACATAAATTTTCAACAAGTAACGAATCTCCATTATTTGTCTCGACTGAAGCTGAGTTTGCTGTTCGCTGAATTTTTGGAACTGCATTGTGGCTTCAGATTTTTTTTCGCATTTCTTTGCACAAATAAATTAAAATGGTGGTGGCCTCGTGGCACTTGGTTGAGCGGCGGGCGCTTACGTGAGCGCTGAGCACAGAGTCGCAACGCAATAAAAGTACTCGTGTCTCAGACGGCAAGGCGATGGTCCCTACTTCCGACATAACTTTCCGAGCCAGATTTTCTTCTGGGAAGTGCGCAGTGTAAGCCCATCCTTGCCGTGCGTGAGGTGCGTTTTCATTCTGCCCACAGTTATCTGAGTTGTGCACCTCGCGAAGTACTTCATCAGTGCCTCTAAGTGTAGTAACCGAGATTAATCCTGTAAAGATGCCAAATCACTATGGTTGATGAGTCACAAATGGTTCATTAATAGTCTCTCATGTTATATTGTTATTGGCATTGATTAATTTTAAATTAAAGTGCCGCGAAATATATTCCTTTTTCCCCCCTCCAGTTTTAAGTTTTTAATGCCTTTTTCGGTTCCTATTTTTTTTAATTAGTGCCTTTGGGCGCCTAAAATGTTATTTTTAGTGCTTTAACATCCGATGTCTAGTCATAACCATAAACCCGTCATTCATCAACGATTATGATCTTTGACAAGAAGTGCTTATCTTCTTCTAAATGATCAAGCAGTTCCTGACAAAGCTGAACACAATGTGCTTTTTGTTCCTCCGTCATCAGTCGTGGCACAAATTTCGCAGCAACGTGGTGCATCTTCAAGTCAAAACCTCGTGACAAGTTCCAGCTGATATACCACTCCCTTCAGCAAGCTCCCTGACAGTCAGACGTCGAGTTTCTCACACCAGGGTATTGATTTTGTCGACGTGTGGGTCGTCAGTTGTGGAAAGACGTCCAGAACGCTCATCTTCAATGGACTGTCAACCATATTTAAAACGTTCAACCTCTTAAAACATGCCGTACGTTTCATAGCAACATCTCAGTCATCCGTGTTAAACATTGCAAAAGTTTCTGTCGCAGATTTTCCTAGTTTAACACACTTTCACAGCAGGTCGTTGTTCTTTCAGGGCATTCCTTTTGAAATCCTCCAAACGAAAAAATCGCACTCCACTAAAAACCACGTAGCTAATAAACAAATGAAGATATCAACAATCGGAAAATGGCGTCATAATCAGCAGACCTAGCGACATGGACAAGACAAGCGTATTTCCATGGAACCAACCGGAGACGCAATTCCAACAGTTCGCGGTCCCACGTGCCTGACCTATGCCGATCAGCACGAACTGTCAGAGGCTCGTAACCTTATCGCCCAGCAACACGCATGCGTCTTTTTCCAAACCGTTGCAATAGTTTTGATGCAAGGTTAATTTAACGATGGCAGATAAATTAGTTCTTATAAAATAACTATTTACTTTAGCGTCAGGTTCCCGGCAACAGCAGGGCTCATACTGCAAACCAATGAGAATCGTCCGAACACACGTGCATTTGTTTACATCAAGATGTCTTATGCTTATTGGATAATAGAGGATGAGTCATTACGGGAATTTAGAGCACATTCTGTCGCTGCAGTTCGGAGCTTCTTCAATTTCGAGATTCCATCCTGGTTCCACCTGCTGTTCTCAATATTGCTTTACGATAAGTCTTGCTTATACTCCCTATTGTACCATAAGCGGCCTAACTTGCGAAAGGGAACAAGACAAACATTCAATTCTATAAATATAAAGTACAAAGTCGTATGGCATTGTCATTATCCTTTGAATTCATGACAAAATAGTCATGTATGAGATAAAATCATTACATCATAACGCAATGTCTCGCACTTCCCAATCTTTTGAATCACCTGAAAATTTGGACAAGTCCCAATATAAATATTTTTAAGAACAAAAAGGTCGGTAACCTTACACCTCACATCCGGCTGATCTCGATTTACTAAGTTTTGTACCTCCGACGTTCTGATCGTATTGCACTGCAACATCTACGAGTTGACACGATCATTTCTCCACGCTAAATTCCGAACAAAATTAGCAGCTTGTTTGATGACATTGTAAAAGCAGAATGGATTTGTAAGTAATACAATATTGTACACTCTCCAAGCCAAGTTACATATCTGACGAATGATCTTATAATTTGGAGCATTGCGAGTAACTTTGAGGACCTTATGTCTTACTAACTACCATAGATTTATATCCAATATTCACCCATGTTACTACCCTATATACCTTTGAGGTGTTACTACCAAGATGTAGGAAGAAAATGCCCAGACAATGTATTCTACAACAAGTAAACATCTATGCACATGGCTAACCTATTTTTATTCATTCAAACATGAAAAGTATTTCATTATCGTGATGTACAGAAACCAGGTGGTGATATTCCTCATGTTCCTGCAACACACTGCATTTGTCCACTCTCGTCGCTTACGGACTGTCCATAAATTACGTTAACGCAAAGTTGGAACATTTGAATATCCCATCCCCCCCCCCCGCCCCGAAACGCCGCCCTGGACCCATCCCTACCATTTACAAAAAGTAAAAATAAATTATATAACAATTTATATTTTTTTGTTTTTATGAAAATTAATAATTAAAGTCAAAAGAATTAGCGATACTGACAGTACCTAACAATAAGATTGCGGAACAATTTTTACCTGAAAGAAGGAAGCTTTGGCGAGTAAATTTTAGACTAGTGCAACATAGACATAAAGGACGCAAAGGGAGAATTTACTGTATCAATGTAATTGTATTCTAGATATAAATTAGTTTTGAATATTTTCTTCAAATAATCGGTTCAATCAAACATTATTATCAATTTTTAGGTTCAAATCAAACATATTATCAATTTTTAGTTCAATCAACTTATATTATCAATTTTTAGGTTCAATCAAATATATTATCAATTTTTGTATAAATCATAACATTTTAATTTAATTTAGTGTGTTAATATTTTAATGTAAGGCCGAATAAAAGGAATTATTTAAGTAAACGTTCAAAAATAAAAGACTATCACCGTAACGTAACACTGAACTATAACACCGCCTACCCCGTGTAACGAAGCGTAATGTTTCCTCAAACTCTCTACCGCCCTCTTTAGCGTTACGAAATTTATGAATGGCGCCTTACGACTTTATACAGTGGTAATTTTATCGTTCGCCGAAGATTCGGGTCACGACGCCGGAGCAGTCGAGGGTTTATTCGCCCAGAGAAACGCAGACTCAACTCCCGTGCTGATGTAAGAGACCTATCGCTGCGCCGCTTAACTTACCTTAAAGGCAACGCTGGAGTCCTTTCAGAACTTGCTGCGAATTTTTCTTCAATAGAGCGCCGGAGCTCTTCCTCCGAATGCGGGTTTTCTGCATACAACTGATCTATCTAGTACCCCTAAAGGAAAAAGTCACAAGGAGTCAGATAAGGTGATCTAGGAAACCATAACCCACGACATACTAATGGATCGTCACTATTAATATTATTTCGAACGTTCATGGATCGAACAGCAGTGTGAGCAGTCGCCGAATCCTGTTGAAAGTAACCATAGAGGCCTCTACGATTTTTTTGAAGATTGTTGTAACCTGGCAAAGATTTCTTTCACCTCTTCTCTCAGGACTTGTCGCTTTCGACACTCGTTTGTCAATTGAAATTCCATGCGTGCGAAGACTCTTTCCAAGCTTCAAAATTGTCGACCTTGTTGACAAGTTCCTGAGGAGTCGATCGCTGAGGCAAGCGGTGCGTCATCTCGGCGAAAGATAAAATAAATACAGGTAACTTTTCATTTTAAATACAATTTTATTACAGACATATAGTGATTCAAATTTGCCAACGACCCGCAGCGTTTTTCTAATTACGAAGGGAGAAGGTTTGGTAATATCCATGAAATGGGTAGGCAAACATCGTCGTAGTCCCTATCTACTACGAAACTCGACAAGAGGACATCATTGGAGAACGCGCCAGGACACAGGCTCAAAGAGGTCTGTAATTAGCTATAATACCTATGTTGTTAGGTTTATTTTTATAGCTTTATATTATTTTTTTATAGCATGCTTGAGAGAAGCCCTGCTCTACTTAAATATACGGGATTACGTTTTGCGGAAGCCAAGACGGCTGCAGTTATTACTCCTACAGAATGAATACATCCTCCTCTCCATGGCTTTTGGAGTGTTGAAAACTAAAGGGGAAAAAAGATCTTCCTTTCTCTAACGTCAGGGTTGTACGGACATAGGATAGAATCTCACAGGGCGCGGCAGATTCAGAGAATTAAGAACAAGGTGACACGACGCGAACTGGTGCTTGACACTCGAAAGCACGAGAGCTTTACTTCCATTAAAACATTGTGTTGACACTTCGTCAGTTGTGGTGCTGTCGCCAAAACTTCTGTCTGGAGACAAACTACCTTTCATTTCCAATATTCACTTTGTCTGGCTGCTAGTAAATTCGCTGATTATCATTAAAGATAGTAATTACAATACTGTTTCCTGTAATATTTGCAGGGGGGGTGTACTTGAATGCTGATTCGTAAGACATATGAAATCTTTGTTTAATCTGAATTTTATACTGGGTTACCATTGTACATATCACACAGATAATGCCAATTTCTGTGCCTGCCATTCAATATCTTGCTGTATCCTTACATTCATGTTACTGGTTAGACGAGTTTATTGCATGCAGTTTGGTAAGATTTTTTAATGAAGTTTGGCTTTCAAGGTTATGCTTTTTTTTTGAAACCATGATGTAAAAAATCATATTTACATCGTGTTTGAAGCCATATGGCATACTGCAAGAATTTCAACTTGTATGTATGAGGCAGCAATAGGGTTCACCTCTCCAAAATGTCAAGAAAGAACATCAAAGGTTTAATTTGAGAGCAGTGCAGAACTTTCTTATAAGAAATCCATATATTAATAAGCATATTGAGATCCAGTCATTTAAAAATAGAGTATGACATTATTTGAATACATTTATGTCCTAATGCAAAGTGTTGTCATATTCAATACAATTACCTTTGTAATTTTTAAATAATTAACAAAAAATCTAAATCTGCCAAGTCAAAAAAGAAATATAAACTGAGTGGTTGACTTTGCCAGGAGTAAGAATATAATTATGAAGAAATTGTATTTAGTCATACAAAAAGAAACAAAATTATTTAGTAAGCTACATACAAATAACTGGAATCTATAAATCTTCTCAAAATAATTAAACACACCGCTGAAAGATCTTCCAATTTACAAATATTTGACAACAGGTTCCAAAGTTGCCAAAGTTCCAATTACCATTACAGTTTCTGAATCCATATGTAAAGATACTCATAAATAATGAATAAAATAAGTTTTGATGCAATAAAGTTCGTTATATCTTGTAATACAATATGATGAAATTATTAACTTTTTAAGGAATTTTACAAAACTGGGAATACATTTAGTATTACATTTAGTTTCTTACTGAAAGAAATATACATTCTGGTTATGTGCTTTAAGCCTCCTATGCTTTTCCACAACCAATGTGATCTGTTTGCAAAACTATCATGAATCATTTTACAGCATTCCAGGTAAAGGAATTTTTAATTTTATTTTCCTATTATGCGAGAGGCTTGTTAATGGAATTTCATTAGGAAAGGAAAGTAACATTTTCATCAGGGTGAAGCTTTTCATGTATTTGCTTGAGCAAAATATACAAATTTTTTTTAATGAAATTACATTCTATGAAGAGTAATAATGAACCTGTTTTAAGGTGAGAGAATAAATTTGTATGATTGTGTAGGTCCAGTTTCAAAAAAAACAAAAACAAACAATCCTTTTAGTGTGATTTGGACGAAATATTTATTACTTTATCTTATTTGCTCCCAAATTTAGAAAACTTTCTTTTTATCTTTGATGATCAAGTAGATATCTGTTAAATTTGAGACAGAAACTACAATTATAATTTTCTGTAAGGTACCTTCTTTTCTCTGTAATTGATGAAAACTAGAAGAGTGAGGTTAATTTAAATTTCCAGTAACATGCCATTCTCTATTAATGAATTCAATACAAGCACCATGCATAACTTTTAAATCATAAGTCAGGCAAGTTAAGACAGGAAGATACACTTGCAGTCATTAATTTTTTATGTGGAAAATTACACTCAACATCACATTGATTTTTCAAGATATTTACAAAATTACTAACAATATACAATTACTTCTAAAAGGATTTCATACAGTTTAAACTGAAATTCACTTGGAGGTTTTGGAATGTTTACACATAAGTAAATGAATTACATAAAGAAAACAGGTGTAGTTGTCTCAGTTTTCTTTGTTTCACTTTTTTTTTTTTTTTTTTGCTTTGTTTACAAATGCAACTGTAATATACAGACCCATTTATGGATTTTGCGAATTCTATTCCATTCCCTGACAGAAATCCCAAGATGGCTCAAACCATCAGAACGAGTAAACAAGGCAATAAAACTATCAAACATTTTGTACATTTACATGCTACACATAGAAGGTAAAGTCCATGATGCATTTTGAATAAGCTACCTCTAAATGCAGGACAATATGTCCTTCTACAATAAAGTGGAAACCAAGACTATTTATTATACAATGACAGTCTTTTTATTTTAAGAGTGAGGACTGGGAAATTTCATATACACACCTCATTGACAATTAAACAAAATACCATATTTATATATATACCATTACAACACAACAACAACATTTTAACTTAGAAATAACAAGAAAGCACATTGTAGGATCATGACTGTTACAAGAACTAACAGAACATAGGCAGATTCCAGAGCTGAAGCAGTAGTTGTAACATCCAAGCTTTAAGGCTTTGCTAAATGGCCTATTACGTGCAGTACATAACAATGATTTTAATGACAATACAGGTTGATTTTTTTTCCCCATTGGCACACAAACCACTGAACACCCTAAACATGCAAAGTACACCTTAACCAAAAACATTTACAAATTTTTAATTTTCATAAATTGTGGCCATACTGAGATACAACTCCAGTGCTGGAAAGAATGCATATATTTTCCTTGCGATGGTTTTTATTCCTGGCCTGATACTTCATTCAAAGGTGAAAAATTTACACCTCTGAAAGTCTGTTATTACAAAATATCTACAAAACAAAATTATAAATACATCAAGTGAGGAAGAATGAGGCTAGTGTTGAATGGAGGGCTGCCCACTTGGAGATTTGTGCCTTCGATGGTCGTAGTTGACAAGTCGCCGACCAACAAGATATTTGTCATTTTTGATATGTTCATACAATTTACGGAATTGTCGCACCTGAAACACGACGACTGCCCCAACTAAGGCTACAAGTAAAAGGAACGGATAGAGTCGCCGAGCAATTAAAATACGTAAGTGAGGATTAGTAACAAGCAGAGGTATAATACCATGAGCAGTAGCATAGGGAATAGCCAATGCCAACCCAAAGCAAACTACAACAGGAGCAGCTAAATCACACAGAACAAATGCTAAATCCATGTTCCGTATGCCATCACGATAGGCTCGCTCAATACTTCTCCTCAAAGCCCATTCTGGGCCCATCATTGTGACAGCACATGCAATTTTTGTATATAGTACACCCAGTGCCCAATCTTGCCATACAAAAAGGACAGGGGTCTGATCTAATGGTACTCGTAAGGGCACAACTACGACCAGCTCAAGCAGTAAACCAAAGAGGAGAGGGATAAGGCCTAATAAGACAGAAAAAGCAACAGCAGACTTTACTCCCACAATACACCACTGTTTGAGTCGAGCAGTGATGGCTGCTCTTCCCTGTGGAAGCCAACTGAGTAAGAGTGCTATAGCGCGTGCAGCAAGCCAGCATAAATAAGTTCCACATGCTGCTGTGTAAAGCTCATGAACACGGCCACTGACAGCAGAAGGATCACCGGATGGAGGAGAAACGGTAGCAACTACAGGAGGGGAAGGCGGAGGTGCTCCCACAAGCCAAAGTGCCATTACACGACGGCCAAGCCACACAGGGAGAGTGAGAGCTGTTAAGCTAGCCAATACAAGAGTAACACAAACTGCCAGAAGGAGCCCGGCAAGTCGAGCAGGAAACCAGCGAGGTCGATCGTATGGTTGGAAACCAGTGGGGCCTTCGCGTTGTAAAAGGGCCTGATGTGCAGCTCCCAAACCACCTCCACCAGGGTTTGCTGCACCTCCAAACACCCCCCCTCCGCCAGCCCCTATCCCACCTGCACCCCCTCCACCGCCAGGAGGAGCAGCACCAGCAGCAGGAGCACCAACACCAACACCAACACCACCACCTGCTTGGACAGGGGCAGCTGGTTCAGCAGGGGCTCCTTGCTCTCCAGTTGGAGTTTCTGGCTGTTCGTTGCCCAGAAGGTATGAATGAAGGTCTAAGAGCCATGCCACTCCCTTGCACCAAGCACGCACCAGCCCTTTCAGCCAAGTGCGAGTATGAGATTGCTCCAGCAAAGCAGGCAAAATTACCTAAAATTGACATAAAAAGACAAGTTATTTTTTTAAATTACTTAAGTGTTGTTTATTTTACTTCATTTTTTTTTTATTTTACTGTAACCTAATGTAAATTAAGAAATCTCAGCCATTTAAATCGTGAATTTTTCTCAACTATACACGTACATTAACCAGATTTCTTGAAAATTAAGGCTTAAGGGATTCAAAAACTTACTTGCAGAAGAAGTAATTCCAGAGATAGCTCATTAACTTGAGCTTCACTCTGCAATGTGACAGTGTAAGGCAGAAAACTTGGCCATACAGCACGAAGAATACGTACAGGAAGCCATAACATAAGTAGTACTGCTGTTCCAAAAATTACAGCAGATGCTAGTAAGCGTCGAATATGACGCACTATTGGTAAATGAATCATTTCCTAGATGAAGAAAGAAGAAGGCATACCTTTAATAATGAATATTTGTTTTGAACTTTCTAATATGAATGGACTAGTCAAGTATTGACCAATATTCAACAGATTATGTTATACACTTACACTACTGTCTGCTGTGTAAGTGTATAACAACAGAACAATCGGTTAAAATACGAGTTAATAAGTTAAAATTGACAGGAATGTTTTGGCTGCATTTTCGTGGCCGTCGTCACACGTTGTAAACATCGCCTCACAATATGAGGTTCGCTCCTGTAGGGAACGTAAGTGACAATGATTGACAAGTCCAATTTCAACTTTTTACCTTGTATTTTAGCTAATTGTTCTGATTTTATACATGTGTATCTGTTGAATTTGGTCAATAATTCTTGAATAATCATTTCTTGAATTACTAGTAAGAAATAAGATCCTACCTGTATAGGACTGAAATCAGGATCATTCAAATTGCGTAGAAACCACAATACGCCAGGACGAAGAACTTCCCGTAACAACAAAATGAAAGAGGCAAAGTAGTACACATACACCATTCCAACAAGCCAATGAATGAACATTGAAGTTCCTGGGGCGACACGGAAGCTGGACTCACGGTCTCTGAGAGTGGCATCAAACATCGACAAGGAGCAAATATCTAGCCACCAACCACAAATAAGAGGCAATACACCAATTTCCACAACAGATAAAAGGGACACCTAGAATGAAAACAAGTTATAAGCAATTTTCCATTAAGGATAAACTCATAAAATAACATATTACTTCACAAACCTTAACTACTACATAGCAAAGTCCCAGAATTCGTCGAGATCTTCTTAGCCCAAGGACTGAAGCCAGAGCATGTAATATGACCAAAAACAGACCAATGACACAGTATCCACATAGTGTAGTTACAAGCCCTTCAAAATGAGACGCAGCAGCATGTTCACGGAGACTAAATCCAATTACAGCAAAGTGGCCAATATGATATGGGCAAAACGCAAACACCAGGATGAAGAGAGTATTAAGGGATACGACCCAAAACACATGTTCAAGGAACACCAGTGATCCATCAAGTCCTAACAGTCTTTCCCACGTGAGCTCCTCAGCAGCGCGGTCCCATTCGATGGGGTTCCAATTTCCCTCGTCTGCAGCAGCTCCGGCAACACCGTTGTCATCAGCACCATCTCCAGCAGCATGCTCCTCTACTTCCCCAGGGGCGTTATTAAGAAGCTGAGGGCCCACTACCTCTTCCAACTCTGGCAGCACTAGATCTGGCGCAGGTGCAACCACTGGGGCTTCCTGCAATTACAATTACCAAATACAAAATAGAATTTATACAATATAAATGAACACATTCTTAGAGACACAATGGGTCCCTGATTTCCACCATGAAAAGAAGATGCAGTCACAAGCATTTTGTTCACAAATTGTTTACCATACAAATTCAACTTTTATTGTCTGCCCTTTAATTTTACCCACTCTACTTTTCAATTTATATTGGTTTCATTGACTCAGTTTTTAAAAATATTAAATTTATCTTATTAATAACTTTATACTGTGTAAAAATTACGAATACTTAAATCTTTTTTTTTTGCAATTCATTATAATTTATGATATTATAGACTGATAATTAATTGACAATTACGACTATTGCATAGATTAAATACATTTTGCATTACTAGATTTAACACTTTTTGGATGGCTCTGGCATTGAAAGGGTAATATATAGTGATGTGGGCCACAAAAAATGTCAGCAAATCAATAAACAATTATTTTCTAAGAAAGCTTTATGGACTATCTAAAGGACATATGATTTTGTCTACAAATGAATAAAATGATGTTGCTAGACACTAAATATTAAACAGAACTGTAAATAAAATAGTTTGTATTAAAAAGTTGCATATATAGGGGAACTCCTTTGAAAAACCACCACAACCAAGCTCGAATCAGTGATCTCTCAAGCTAGATGTAAAACAGCAATGCCTTTCTTCAGTGATTAATTTTTACAACAATCCATTACAGCAATACTATTGACTCTGACCCTGCATTTAAAAACTAATCCAACCATGTTTTCTTACCTGTTCTAATGCATCAGCTTCCACAATATTATTGTTGTCTAGTGGTGGAGGTGGTGGGGGATTCTGAGGAGGAGGAGGAACTTCAACAGCTGGTGGGGGAATATTATTATCCCTTTCCAACCAGTCCGGTCCTCCACCATGCAGAATTTGCTCTCGTAACCATACCAACCCAATAAAAGCAAATAATGTGCATGTTACTACAAAACAACCATGGAAAACATCAGATGCAATATTTTCCGTGGAGAGTATATTAAGTGGTAAAGTAAGGACCTATAAATGAAAAATGCAGTGTCAGCATTCTATCATGTACATTGTAATTCCAAAGTAAAGCAAATTTGGGCAAATTAAAAGAAAATGTTAAGACATACCGAGTCAAAGGAACCAGTGAAGAGACATCTATAGATACGGAACGCTGTGAGAGGCACAACACCAAGCCAAGCAAGAGCTACTACTGTGTAATGAAGCCAGTATTTCACAGCAGTAGCAACACTTGACAGGAGGCCCCCTGCCACATCTCGAAGAGGCAATCTCCGAGGCATGTCAGGGGAATATATTGGAGTGAATGAGAAACGATGACCACATAATTCACAGTATTCTTTCCTACTATATCTCATCCACTGAACAAGACATTCTTGGTGGATCCATTTTATACTGCCAGTGCAAATGCACGGATGGAATAAGGGCCGGTCTGGTAAGCCTTCGGAGCGGCACACCCGGCAAATGTCCGCTCCTTGCAAATCTTCCATCATTATGAGTAGTTATGTTTCCAAAATCTACCACAATAAAAACAACATAGTAATGAGAGGTTCATGTCACATTGTCCTTTTCTTCAATAAGAAATATAAATAGTTCTCCAACAAGTAATCAATAAAGCAGACACTAATTACAAGAGTTCACCAATGAAGAATGACCACTGTAAATAATTCACTCTGTGCTGGAGGAAATGACTAAGTGACTTCACAAAATACATAATGCAAATATTGGTCATTGCAAAATTATTCAAATAGACAGTTTTTATTAGCGGACTTTTATTGGTGAGAATGTTATCTAGTATTCTGGGACTATTATAATTAAGACGCAATAAGGTGCGCAAATATACATATGTGTCGCAAAACAAATAGAAGTAGGTCAAGTAAGTTTGGTGTAACAACTCACTTGAACCGAAGTTCATACACAGTTCACCATCACTCATCAACCATCACTGCGCACGTAACTGCAACATGCAAATTTTCTATAACACAAGGTTACAACCAACTGAGAAAAAATTGTCCAGCTACTGGCTCAGGATTTCCATTCTACTCTAACAGTACCCATTTTGTTGACCTTTCAAGGTAGCCAACACGGACGGAGTTTTAACTGTGAGGTGAATTTGTTCTCGTGATCCTTTGCTACTCCTGACAGTTCCCAAATGTACTTGGCAGATAGTTTCAATTATTTGCTTTTCATTTGATTGGAGTTGCCGCCAACAATTGAAATGATAGTAAGTTTGCGACAAAAACAATTCTACATAACAGTGTTAATTTAATTCCGGCGTTGGTTGTACTGGGTCCACGTGAAACAAATGAAATAAGGTGAGGTCTACAACTGGCGCTTTCTGACACTCTCTGAATCAGGCGTTCTGTGAACTTAAAAGGCAGGATATGAAGTCTGGCACAACTCTTGCAGTGGGGATGGGCTAAGTATGAAAAGCTTTGACAACCAAAGGTCACTCTTAAGCTTTAACGTAACATAATGCTTCGTATGAAAGCACCTTTCACGTTACTTTTCTGCCAATGACAGCCAAACTCATGTGTTATGTCAACTACACGAAGTCAGTAAAAAGAAAGATCCTCCGATGATGGGGTTGAGGCATAGTGAATGCATGGATGAATAGATGTTAGGATGATAATGTATGGTGATGGATGTACAAAACACGTCAGTAGATAATTGGACTAACTTAGTTTCAGTGACATCACGCGGTGAATGAAGGAACTTAGCTCCCTTTTTTCTACCAATAGAGATACCCAGAAAGACGTCACAACATTTGGCGGGAAATGAGAGACAAGCTCTGGTGAGCTAGGTGTACACGTATAAGTGCTTCGTAAAGCTTTAGTACGTTTTGGCAGTATGCCAAAGTGCCGGTTGCCGAAGTTTGTGGTTCTTCTCATGTTTCTTATTTACAACGATATTTTCTTCCTTTCCGTTTAGGTCCTGGATTGCACATCTCATTTGAAAATTGTTCGAAGTTAATATTACTGTGACCTTAGCGATTAAGGTAAGATGCTATTATCCGCGCACGTTTTCTTGAGTTTCCCTTTGTCATTGCGAGAGAGTGGGAGTTTGGTTATTTTGACCCATAGTCCGCTAGTATGCCAAAAAGCCGCGCACTTTGCCGATCTATGAGCTAGCGAACCGGACGAAGTTTCACATTGTGGCCGCTAGAACGCTTATCGCCAACGCATGTGAGAGACCTTGGGACGCTAACAATACACTATAAATGATCAAATGCCCGCCCTTCGGGCACTTTGATCGTTTGGTAGTGATATAGCATTGCAAAACTCATGTTTGTGGTAATTCTAAACAAAACTAAAAATTATATATCTCTGTGCAGTTTGCTGAAAGAAAGTGTGAAGTGAATTCCTCCAATTACCTCAAATAGGCGTGCGGTGAAATTATCTGGTTAGTAATGCAGGCAGTATCCTTTTTGCGTATAAAAATGCATGTTTATTCTTATTTCTTTTTTTCCATAATTAACGTTAATTTAACCATAATAATGCCTTTAAACATTTTAAAGGACACCCAATGAACGAAAAAAAAGAAAAGTATTCTTATAAGCTTTTATACCATTATTTTATATTCCTAATGTATTGGGATTCTTTAAACTATATTACCACACTAAAAGAAAGAATTCAATAGAGAAGTGTTTAATGTAGAAGAAAAAAATCACTGAAATAACTGAAGAGAACAAAACGGACAACGACGCTGAACTTATAATAACACCCAGGAAAGTCACGATATCAAAAAGCCTCCAAATCACTATGTCCTGCAAAAACGTTCTCACCTAGAGACAGAACCAGAAAGTTATTACTCCGCGCAAACTTTTCTTGAACGATAGATTGACGAAATGAGGGTAAGAGTGGGGGTATTAGTTAAAAAGCGGCTACCAAATTTTATGAAGTAATGCAATCTCTGGAGAATGCAGTCATTCCTTCGCAGCAATTCCATAAACGTGCGTTCTAGACTTTTTTTCAGGAGTTCGAGGTATCTCCGTGGGTTAGATTTTTTGCCTGCTTTGGTTATTTCTTCGATTTTTTTTTTAGAAAATAACTGATAGAAGTTCTCGTCTTCAAAAGAAGATTGTTTTCTAGTTCGTAACTATTGAAATGTGTTTGGAATATTATCATCAGTGCTCGCATCTTTTTCTTCAATCTGTTTATTGTGCAGAAGAGGGGGAAGCAAGGGCGCCATTCAATAAAAGTTGCCACGAGTTAATACTTTACAACTAGCGAAATTCATATTGGCGCTCTCGTGGACGAAAAGAAAATGAGATTTTCCTAAATCACTGAAATATACAATGTAAAATTAGTTCTAAATTCTTTGCGTAGGATGCTTCGAATCCACAAACAATGGTAGAGCAATATATCATAATAATAAAAATAAAATGAACAATCAGACATCTCGTGATTCCAATGACTTGAGAGAAAATATATACTTTCAATTGCAAATTGTTTCAATACGAGAAAACATCCAAAACTGTCTCAGACGAATCATTCCTAGTATTCTTGCGCAAACTTTCTTGACGATGGACTTGAAGATATGCGGGTAGAGTAGGGGGTTATTAGTTACATAATCAGCCACTAGATTTTTGAACCAATGCAAATCTCTGGAGAATCAGTCAATACCTTCGCAACTTTCTCAATATTTTCCGTTCTAACTTTCCTCAGGAGATCGAAGGTATCTTTCACATGCTTCGGTGATTTCTATTAGATTTTTTGGAGAATAAATCACGGCAGAAGTTTCATCAACAAGAAAATAGTTTCTATTTCGCGCCAGTGAAGATGTGTTTGGAATATTGTCATCAGTGCTCGCTGCTAGCTTCAGCTTTCAATTGTTTACTGTGACAGAGAGGGGGATGCAAGGTCTTCATTGAGAAAAGTTGCGCGAGTAATACCGGAGACTGTGTGTTTTCATTGTTAACAGAAGTTCGTGCTATTTGAGTAGTTTTTGTGTCGAATTTTGAGAATAAACTGAATTTTTAGGTGGCCTAGGCAAGGGTTATATATTTTGTGAACGTTGAGAAATATTAAAAATACATGTTAATATTTATTTACTATGGGCACAGTATACTGTGATATGGGAAGATAATTGTCATTCTTGACGTGTTAAATAAATCTTATCTTTAATTACCCCTGAAGTTAATCGGTGGTAGCGCAATTTATTGTGAAATCTGTGCCACAACTTAAAGGATTGATGTGAAAAGAAATCTTCAAATATATATTAAGCTAGCTTTGCAAAGAAGCAGATTCCTTGCGTGTGACGAGAGCGCCGAACATTTAATAACGATTATTGACATAATTTGTGTCATTTTGAGCCAGTGATCGTGAAGAATATTGCTGCTGTTACTCATGAAATAATAGAGAGTCCCAAGTACTTGAATTCAACGCCTAGAAGTCGAAAAGTTCTGTGTTTGTAATGCGGATCTCCATATATTTGCATGTAGTATCCGAACTACTGCTCCTGGAATGGTCGGTGAGTAGCGGAACTATTAGGAATAACAAGAAGCAGGCTGGAGCGCCCAGGTTTTACATACAAGCGGGCAGTTTTGACAAAAATAATTTTATATCTAATTTGTAGTTAGTTTTTCGATGTAAAATAGTTTCTCTTACACGGAAGCGAAATTTGTGGTTATCTTATTTTGTAAACAACGCTCTTTGCCCTCTTTTATTCTTAATTCAATTAATGTTAGCAAAGGAGTGGGGGTAGGTATTCCGGGGCTCAAGAAAACGTGCACGTATAATACCATGGAGTTGGGAGTTCCGTGTACAACTTTATAATAAAATGAAATGTTTGAGAGCTGGACCTACTTTTCATTGGATATTAAAAGTACCAACTTAAAGAATTTCCGGTCCCTATGTTATTCGAGAGAAGACTCCGTGAATTTTTATGAACTGACAGCTTTACAAAATATTTTAGAAAAGTGTATTACTTATTATCATTGAAAGAAATATTTCCAACGTTAATTTTTATAATATTTGTGGAAAAATCCACAAATACAGTCCCAGAAGTGTTCGAATTTTTTCCGGGAACGGAAGAACCTTAAATAAGAATTTAACCAAAAGTTATGATTTACCGTATTAATTTTTTAATGTATCATTTGAAACATATATTGTTACATAAATATATAAATAAATATTACACTTTTTATGTTAATAAAATGGAAGTTTCCTATGCTGAATTCAGACTTTAATCGCCAAGCCATGTGTTTAAAATATGTAGAAAGATCTTTCCACCATGGTTTGTAGCTTTTATTTTTTCGTATACATATGTATATATGGAGTAATATATGTGGTACAGAGAAAGTTGAAATGCTGCGCAAAAAACGGAGCATTTTCGGCAGAAAAAAATCATTGCTGGGCCTTAATAATGATAAAGGAAATAATTCCAGTGGCTAAATTAAGGGAAAAAAAATCATCTAACAAGTGCTGTAGCCAGAATCCCTGTTCTGTGGGTCCTTGATTACGAAAAATTAATTGACCGAAAAACGTCAGTCTGTCGGTCCGTCTGCCTCACTGTCCGTATGTGAATACTATTAGCGCCTACACCATGCGTAGAATTTTTTCCAAATTTAAGCAACCCCTGTTTGAGATTTTGAAAAAACGTTCTTTAAAATTTGGAGGTACTTTACAAGAAGCCCTTCGGACATTCTCAAAATTTTCCCTTTCTTTTTATTTAAATTTCTAATAAGAATAGAGTAATATACATTTATAAAAGTGGCATACGTCCGATTTTCACGGTTAAGTCTGAATTTTCGAAAATTTCAAAAGTATGATTTTATTCGTCAACTACAAAATTGAAGATAGAGTTTTTTCCTTCAAATAAAATTTGCTGTCCATAGTGAGTTTTTTCATTAAGGTCATGTATTTTTTTTGAAACTTACAGTAGTATTTGCAATTAAAAAAAATACAAAAACAAGATTTTCCCAAAATCGGCTCCAAAATTTTCTTTAAACATTTGGTAGGGATACTGCCAAATGCTCTCTATAAGATGACATAAATGCCCTACTGCTCTGTTCTTTTGTTTTTCAAATATTATAAAAATGTAATTTTTTACTTGGGTCTCACGTCGTTAATATTTATACTGGTGACAGTTTATTCACATTATTGTAGTTTTGAGCACATGTGCAGTATATAATGTCACATAGAGTTTCTCGAAAACTCAACCATTTTCTGTGAAAACTAGCTCACAATTCCGCATTTTCAGAAACGTTCAAAAGCCATTTTCTCAAAAACGGTTCCAATTTTTTTCTTTAAAGTTTCGTCTTTTATGTAATAATAATAATAGATAAGAAATATGATGCTAGTCCCATTTTCGGGTATTGCTCGTTTTTTGAAAATTAAAAAAATTAAAATTGCGAAACGGAAGGTACTGTCCGGGACTGAGTTCTCCGACCGCGGGACGGAAGGGACGCAGGCCTCTTCCAAGAAACGGAG